AAAAAAAAAAAAAGAAAGGATGAGCTGGGGGACAGAGGGCCCAGAGTTTATCATTAAAAGCCTCAGAGAACAACCCTTAGGGAGTAGGACTGAGCCATAATCAATTAACTGGCAACATGTACCTGGATGGACTAAAGAACCCTGTGCCCTAATGACTTCTGTGTGCCTCCTTTTTCTCTCCTTTGAAACAGGAGTGTATATAGCCCTCATCCTGTGCCTGCTCAGTCATTGTTGAGTATGTATTAGGGACAAATAATTTATCTCTTTAGTTCATAGGTCTTCAGATTGAGAACAGTTCTGAAGGTCTTCTGTCCTTGGGACCACACTAGAGGAACTTCATCAACACCTGGACCTGAATGTAGAGGATGAGATCTTAGACTTTGCATTGATCCTCAAAAGTCTGATGGGATGAAGCCTGAGAATCTTTGAGATAAGTGTGTTTTGCATATGGGTGGGGGGAGGTGTGAATTGTTACAGCCAGAGGGTAGACTACTGACCATAACAATTCACATCTCTCCTACTTGCAAAATACACTGGTTCCTCTCTCCAAGACCTCCAAAGCCCTATCCCATCAGACTTTGATTGTATATTCCAAAGGTGGAAATAACAATATCTCCCATTCCATAAGCATCTCCTTATCCATAAGCTAACCTTATCACTGTGCCTATCCAGTGGAGTCTGTGCCCTTCTCCTTGACACTGGTTGGGCCTCTGTGACTGCCTTCACCAGTGGAATGGGGCTGAAGTGATGATGTGTAACTCCTGAGACTATATGTCACAAAATGCCTTGTGCTTCTCCTTTGTTCTTTTTGGTATTCGTTCTTGAAACCCAGGTACCATGCTGTGACATTAAATCTGAGGAGAAATTCTAGTGAAGAGGAATTGAGGCCCCTAGTGCACAGCGATGGCTGAGCTCCTATAGTCAGCATCAGCTTGCTAGCCAATGAATGATCCATCTTTAAAGCCGATCTCCAGCATCCAATCCAGGCGCCCTGCTAATGCCATATGGAGCAGAGATGAGCTTGCAAATATATGAACAAAATAAGTGATTCTTGTTATTTGAAGCCATTAGGTTTTAGAGTACTTTTCTATATACACAGTGAGAGATGCTCAGAATATACCCTCCAAGTGATCTTATCTGTTTCTATAGCATTAACTACACTGATTTGATAATCAGAACTTTCAGGTCAAATTTTTCTTTGGACTTTCTGACCCATATATCTAACTACTAATTACACTGTATCTCTTGTATATCTAACTACTAATTAGCTGTATCTCTCCTTAAGCTCAATATGTCCAACATCAATGTGTTGTCCTTCTCCACCATCTGTTCTTTCTCCATTATCTTTGTTAATTTACTGTCTAGTCATTAGTAACAGAAACCTGGGAAATCATTCTCATTTTCTGCATCTCCCCACCTCTATAATTTTACAACCTAGATATCTTTTGAATTCATTCTAACAGCTAATGCCTTAATTGAAGTTTTCACCAACTCTCATGTCCTATTTTAGTAATAGTAACTGATCTAGTCTCTAGTCCTCCCTTTTTTTTTTTTTTTTTTTTTTTTTTTTTTAACTCATGTTGAGTTTATACTCACTATTGCTGTCAGAGTAATATTTTTAAACATATGTTACAATATTTCTTACAAGTTTATTTTTTTATAATATTTTTTTTTTGAGAGAGAGTGTGTGTGTGCACATGCATGTGTGAGCAGGGGAGGGGGCAGAGGGAGAGAGAGACTCTTAAGCAAGCTCCTTGCTCGACACAGAGCCTGAAGTGGGGCTCGATCTCACGACTGCAAGATCATGACCTAGGCCCCAAAATCAAGAGTTGGACGCTTAACTGACTGACCAACACAGGCACCCATCTTACAGTTTCTAAATGATTTCAGTTTACTTACAGAAGAAAGCCCTACTTTCTTTGGAGGATATAATGTTTTTTAATAATTTGGGCCCTTGCTAGATCTCCATCCTTATTGCTTGTTCCTCCTTTGCACTTTATAATGCTAAATTACTTATTGTTCTCCAAATACACAAAGAAGAAAACAGGTCTTTCTATTCCTTCATGCTGTTCTACCCATTCGAGCTTTGGTATAATTCAGTTGCATGTGGTTGTAAGATGTCTCCACTTTCCTGCTGCTTGTTGGCTGGTGTTGCTCTCAGCTCCTATAGGCTATTCTCAGGTCCTCGCCACATGGTCTTCTCAAAAAATTGCTGCTTCCTCCTTCAGAGCCAGCAGGACTCTGGCTGCATTGTGCTATGACAGTCTTCTATAATGTAACCTAATTAAGGGAATGGCTATCCTAGGAATTGGGATTATACAAGACTTGTATGCTGGGAATCTTGGGGGCCGTTTTAGGATTCCGCCTACCATCGGTAAATACTGTTTCTCTAAAGAGAAAAAAGTTTCTCTTTAGAAACTTTTAGGATTAAAAAAAATCCTCAATAATTGCAAACCTTGCAAGAATACATCTTTCTGTGCGTGTGCTTTTACCCACTCTTTGGTTACTCAGTGGGCTCTTTCAGTCTGGCAGTTTATGTTCCTTCAGTCATAGGAAACTTTTGTGTTTATTTCAGTGATGATTTCTCCCCTTTTATTTTCTTCCTTCTCTCTTTCTGGGACTCTTAGTTGGACATTGGACCTCTTGAACCAGTCCTTCACCTTTATTACATTTTCTCTCCCATTTTTCATTTTTTGCTGTCCCTTCTGGCAGATTTATTAAACTTTATTTTTTATTTCTTTATGGATGCAATATCTTCCCATCACCTTGAGCTTATGAGAAGTAGTTTTCTGAACCTTCCTCCTGAATAGTCTGTATTTTTTCCATGTTCTCTATTTTTCTGTTTGTTCTGGTCTCTTTTATGTTAGAGGCTTTCCTCAGATGTTTGTTACTTCTTGGATATCTGTTTGTGAGTTAGAATATGAAACTAAAAAGCTGATTGGAAGTTCTGAGAATGTAGATGAGACTCGTTAACTCTGAGCTCCATAGGGTGTTTCTTTTTGATGAACCCTAATGTCAGTATACTCAGATTTTTTCTTGGGGTTATTCACAATTCTTGGAAAAGGATCTTCCAGTCTTCTGCTGGGAGGACAGAAGTCTGGCCACTATATTCTGGGAACTGAGTGGGTAGGGAGCTAGGAGTGCCTCAGCATTTGGTTACTTACTCCCCTCTCTTCTGGCGTGGTATTCACACTTTCAGCTTTCCTGAAGTCCCCCCCAGATTTCTTCTGGTGTGAGGGAGGGACAGTTGCCTGAGCTCTTAGAGTCAGGGAGAGGAATCTCTGGATCTAACTTCTCTCCAAAGCTTTTACCCATTCCTCCTTATTTTTTAGCCTTTTTGCCACTTCCCCCTCCAGTATTTCTCTCCCAGTACCAGAGATACCAGGCACTGACCGATCTTGAGCAATTGTAGGATTCTGCAGTTAAAATTGAATTGTTTCTTAGCTTTCTCTCATGGCTTATGGGTTTGCTTTGTTAGACTCTAAGTCCATTATTATTCTGTTCTTTAGCTTCCAAAAATTTTTTGCCTTTTCTCTTTTCCTTTCTTCACATATGTATGTTTATCTCTTTTAAAAAAAATCTCCCTGCTGTAGTTTTCCTGGGACTTTTTGAGGGAGTAAAATTAGATGTATATGTTCAAGCTGCTGTCCAAACTCAGATGTTCCTCATGGTTCTGTGTCATTTATTACATGTTTAATTCTTATGTGAAAGGACTTATTCCTTAGTTATTCTATTTCATTTGAAATATCTCTTCATTTATCAGTACCACACTGTTTTATTTATTGTTTTTTGTTTGTTTATTTCTTTATAATATGCTTATTCCTTGTCATTGTAATTTCACGTTTAACTCTTTGTAAATATGTTAGTTTTATAATGCTTGAACTATATAGGTACATTGGGAAGCTTAACCTCAGGAAGTGCTGAGATGATTTCTGTTAATGTTGGATTTATTTCACAGACTTGGTTTTCTTACTCATGACTTTATTAATAAGAATTAGAGTTTACATCCAAATGTTGGAACCGTATTTCCTCACAGTGAAGACATTTTGTTCTCTTTTTAAATGAAGACTGAAGTTGCTGAAGACCCTCAACAGGTTTCAACCGTTCATCTGCAACTAGGATTACCACTGGTTTTTATTGTTAGTCAGCAAGCGACACATGAAGCTGACAGAAGAACTGCAGAATGGGTTGCTTGGCGTCTTCTGGGGAAAGCGGGAGTTCTACTCTTGTTAAGGTATCTTAAACATTGTATAGTCACTGTATTTAGCAAAACACTGTTTTTCTGTTTTTTAAATATGGCAGTATAGTCACTTGTCAATAAACTCAAACCTCTAGTAAATTGTCATATAGTTAGAACCAGTCGCTGAGCTAAATTCTGTGCGTTAATTAGTAGCTTGATTAAAATTTAGACCTTTAAACTTTGCTAACATGAAGTTCTAGATCAAGATGGAGACTAGCAAATCTGGTCTGTCTTTATGTCTGCACTTTCTGAGAGTCACTAAATTGTAATCTTTTTTCATAAATTGTGTTCAGTATAAGAACATATAGTTCTCTTTCATATTGACATCCTGATGACTGTGATTCTTCAGATTAGCAATATAAAACATTTATTTCCATTTTGAAAAAGGGACTCTTTGGAAGTGGACATTCCTCAACATGCTAATGTGGTCTTCAGAAGAGCAGAAGAGGTTAGTCATCTTATATATTGGTCTACAATGTTTGTTTATTAAAAGAAAGTTAATACATGTGGTCAGAAGTATATGCTTATTATAGAAGAAATTCTGTAAATTGCCACTATTCAAAGATTATTGCTGTTTATGTTTTGGTGTTATTTATTTTCCCTCATTTATTAGTCTATTTCCATATCTATATATTCTAGGTATATATATATATATATATATATATCCTCATTTTCTTAAAAATATATATATATATATTTAAGAAAATTAGGGTCATGCTCTATAACCTACTTTTCACATAAAATCATATTTAATTACTTGCTATTGTGCTATGATGCCTGCCTTTGTACACTGTGTTGAACATCACTGATTGTTTCCTTTGGCTAAATTTTTGGAGGTGAAATTTGGCAAAGGAAATGGGAATTTTTAAGGATGTTTATAGAATACATTGTCAGATTGCCCTCCAGAAACCAGCAGGGTTTAGAGTTTCTTGTTCCTCATAAATCTTTGCCCCTACTGAGCACTACCATCTTAAAAAAAAATCTTCTCTATAGACAAAGCTCTTGTTTTAATTTGCATGCCTTTGATTACTAGTGAGTTTGAACATTTTTAAAGGCTTATTTCCCATTTGTATTTCCTTTGTAAATTTCTGCTATTGTCCCTTTTTTTCTTATATTTTTCTTAAATTTTTCTTAAGAACTCTTTAATTCTGAACATTTCAAAATATCATATAAATATGCTAAAGATTGATTGATATGTTTATGAACTGCCAGACAGATTAAACGTAAATTCTCTTGCCTAAGTCTATGGCATGAATACTAGGTTGAGTCAGAAGACTTGAGTTGTGTTCCTTCTCATTCTGAGACCAGAAAAATGAATTAACTTCTCCAAGCTCAATTTTCTCATTTGTGAAATATTCATAAAACCTTCCCATCTAACTTATTAGGAATTTATAAGACAAAATATGAAAATATTTTAAAAACTGTAGTATTGTTCAAATGTGTGTAGTATGTGGCTAGTATGCTCTGCTTTTTAGCCAGGTCCTGGAAAGCATACTTTCTGAAGCTATTTTTTTCCTAGTCGATGAAGATCCTTAAATGAGAAATTGTAATATTTATTATTTGGAGGTAGGTTTTATGGAAAAGTTAAAGCTCCTGCTCGTTTCCCAGTTTTGATGTCTTAAATTGTTAAAATAAAAAATTTTGTATAGTATGAGGTAAGATAGGTTATAAGATAGCTCCCTCTCTCTGACCCTCCCCTGTTCATGCTCTGTCTCTCTCTGTCTCAAAAATAAATAAACGTTAAAAAAAAAAAAAAAAAAGGATAGAATAGTCTTTTCTATGAGTCTCTTTATTGAGTTCAGTGCAATTTTTTTTTTTTTTAACCTTCTCCTCAGGGCAGTAATATTCATCCTGGGATTGTATAATCATTCTTTCTTTCTCTCTTTCCAGGTAAAGGTTTTGAGGGTCCTTAAAGTATAGAAGTGGTTGCAGAGATAGTATTGTATACTCATATTACTACACTGCAAGCCTTGTAATATATAGTAAGGTATAAAACATATCTGTTAGTATTGCATTAGTTCTTCCAATTTTTTTTTTTCCCCTATGGCAGTGATTAGCAATATAGTATTAAGAGTTTATGCTCTAGAATCTTACTGCCTAGTTCAAATCCTGCTTTGTAACCCTGGGCAAATTACTCGATTTCTATGTGTGTGTCTCTCTCTCTCTCTCTCTTTTTTTTTTCATTGTAAAGTAAGGTTAATAATATCTATTTAAAGAGTAGTTGGGTCAGTATATTAAAAAATATATATAAAGTGCTAAATTGGCACAGGGCCAATACATTCGTAAGTGCTCAATAAACACTATTCATCTATTCAATCATTCCATAAGTATTTATTGTATACCTGCTTTGTTTCATACACAGTCCTAGGCTCTGAGGATATGGCAGTGAACAAAAGCAAATTTTTGCCCTCATGGAGCTAATATACTAGTGGCAGGAGACAAATACAAAACCAGTATAGGTAGAATGTCAGATGGTGTTAAGGACAATGGAAAAAAAAGTCAAGGTAAGGTGAGAGAGTAGACTTGGAAGACCTCACTGATTAGTAACCATAAAGCAAAGGAATATGCCTGTGGATATATGGGGAAAGAATGTTCTAGGCTGAGAGGACACACGTTCAGAAGCTTTGAGAAGAATTCTTTGTGTATTAGCGTAGTTTTATGAGGATAGTATTAATGCCTAGAATCTTTCTTAGTATCTAAATTTTTAAAATTTAAAATCTTAAAATCTAAGTTTTTTCATTCCTTTCTTTGGAATTTTTTATAAAATCAAACCAAGAGGTAGGACAATAGAGTGAACAATCAAATACCTACTACCTAGATTCAACAACTAACATTTTAGATAAATGGGGCCAGTTTTTCCTCATTCTGGATTTGTCCGTTTCCTTTTGCTGTTATCTACCTTGTTCCTCTGTTCCCTTATGTTGTCTAAAAACAGGAAGTTAGTTTGCCTAGCTTCATTAAGCATTTTGGACAAGATGTTGGTTTATTTGTATTTTATCTTATCTTAAAGTGGATGAGGTCTGGTTTTCTCACTTAATGATACCACATTTGAATACTGAATTAAGGTGGGGACGATTCATTCTCTCCATCCTAAGATGCATTTCCCCTATCCAATTAGCAAATAAACTGTAGGTAGAAATGCAAATAAAACAACAAGAGATACCAATACTCACCCACCAGAATGGGCTAAACATTTTAAAAGTAACAATACCAAGTGATTCTTAGGAAGGTAGAGTTACAAGAACTTTTGTATACTACTGGTAGGAGTGAAAATTGGTACAACGAAAATTGGAAAAGTATCTGGCAGTGCTTCCTAGAGCTGCAGCTACATATAGCATGCGAACGAGCAGTTCCATTCCTAAGTACAAATGCGTATACATGTGCACCAAAAGACAGCTACAGTAATGTTCATAGCAGTTAGTATTTATAATAGTCCCAAGCTGTAAATAACACAAGTCCATGAGCAATATAATGGATAAACGCATGCATTAGATACATACATACATACATATATACTATTATATTCATGTAATGATTACATCATTGAAAAACAATAAACTGCTTTTAAACGTAAACCTCACAAATAGTGTTGAGCAAAACAAGTAGTCACAAAAAAGTACAAACTGTATATAGTTCCATTAAACAAATTGAAAAACTGGCAAAATTGTACATGGTGATGAAAGACTAGTGATTACCTTTGGGGGAGGGTAATAACAGGGAGAGGCAAGAAGGTGGCCTCTGTGCTGGTAATAATGTTCTGTATCTTCAACTGCATGGAGATTATAGAAGTGTATCAACTTCGTAAAAATTCGTCACACTATATACTTAAAGTTTGTGTTCTTTCCTGTGTGAATGTTGCATTTGAATACAAAAATATCCTACAACAATATCTATGTGTATTTCAAACAAATTTAGTTTGACTTTTGTTGCTCAAACTTTTAACTCCGTTATATTTCTGTAGAAGTGAAAAATTGTTTGCTTTGAATATAATATTAAAAAGATGAAGATATGTGCTATCAGAGAACACATACACGTAGAGTTATTTTATAGCTTTATTCAAATGTATGGTTATAATCAGGGATTATTTACTGAAGTAATCTAGTGGCCTAAAATTTCATGGTTTTAAAATGTGATCATTGGGTATTAGTGAAAGAAATTGTAATGGACTAATCTCAATGGACTAGATAGTCTAGTCTTAAAATATTCTTAAAATATCTGGGGGCAGATATTAGTTTTACATTTTTAGCTAAACTGGCAATTGAATATTTTACTGGAATTGTTTTAGGATGAGATATTATTTTGAATATTTCTGTGGAGTATCAGAATAATTTTGATTGGTCCTGTTTGCAATAAAATTGCACATATCCCTTTTATATTGAGGTGGGACATACCATTATGTGTGAAATGTTTCAGACTTCAGTTGAATAATGTAGTTGTAACAAGAAGCAAGTGAGACTTTCAGTTCTGTTTTCCCATTTTTGTTTTTTCAGTAGTGCACACTATCTTTATATAAAGTATGCTTTGGATACTTTCTATAGGGATTGTGGAATTTCCTTTTTTGTTGTATTTAATATTATTTAAAATTTTTTTTTAACATTTATTCATTTTTGAGAGACAGAGTGTGAGTGGGGGAGGGCCAGAGAGAGAGGGAGACACAGAATCCAAAGCAGGCTCCAGGATCTAAGCTGTCAGCACAGAGCCCGACACGAAGCTCAAACTCAACGGACAGCATGATCATGACCTGAGCTGAAGTCGGATGCTTAACTGACTGAGCCACCCAGGTGCCCCTTGTATTTAATTTTAAAACTGAAGTTCAAAGATTTAGTTTCATTTTAATATCAAACAAGTAAAACATTTTTATTAAAATGCTTTCTTATATTTTAGTCATGTTTTTAAAAATTCATGTATTTCTAGGGAGCGCCGGTGGAATTTTTGGTGTTACATGATACTGAATTAATAATATCCCATGTGGAAGGTAATACACACATTGAAGAAATGCAAGAAGATGAAGATGAGGACGTGCAAAGTCCAGATATGGGTAATATGTTTTGTGATGCTCCTTCCCCCACTTCCCCTCATTCCTGCTCAGTACCCATAAGGTCAGTGACATTTCAATGAATTAACTTTCTCATAGAATATTTTGACAGTCAAGCCTATGAAAAAAACCTAATGAAATCCATTTCACGTTACATTTTATCAAGTTTATTTGGTGGAAAATGTAAGGATGCTGTATTTTGTTTAGTGTGATACCTTTCATTATTGCATGCCAGGCTTCTAGCTTTTCACATCTGTGCCTTTATCTTGAAAATCAGTTCTTCCCGCTCTGCTGGTCTACTTCATGCTTAAAAATTACCCAGGAGCCACAAAATTGTATTTTATTTTTATTTTTTCTATTAGAAAATGAAATCTGAATAAATATTGTTGTACTTGTAAATAAATCTGATTGTTGACAATTTGGAAGTAAATTTCAATAACATTTTAAAATTTCTTTTAACATGTTATATTTCTTTTTATTCTTATTGCTTATATTTTTGAAGTATTTTGTAGTTTCAGGGTTATTCCCCTAAACATTATTTGCTTCGACTGTCATTCATTCAGCTGATGTCTCCTTCATTTTGTAGTGGAATCGGTGTTTTAGCAGAGTTAAGCGATCTACCCAAGGTCTCACAAATGGCACGTGTTGGAGCCTGGTCTAGAACTTAAACATTCTGGCTTGAAATTATTTATGATCGTTATTATTACTGATACTTCTTTCATAAGATTAATGCTATTCTGTAATTGCTCACTTACATTTCTCTCTTATCCACTAGTCTATAATATCTCTAAAGTAGGGATTATGTCTTGTTCATTTTTGTATTCATTTAGTATATACTTGAATGTTTTACATAATACAAGTATGAGCTCTAAGAAGGGAGCAATTTACATATTCTTTTCATGAAGTCCATTCATTATTTTGATCAAAATCTATATTATAAATTTAATAAGGGCTCTGAGCCTTAACAGTTACCAGTGACCAGTTTCTTGGATTGAGCTATGTTCTAGTTTTTTTCCAATGTGCAGAGGTTGGAACTGCTTGTGGTTTAAGCCAGAGCTCTCCATAGCATTGTCATTACATAGAACCTGTGTTCTGGTCTCTTGCTCCCAGCTTTATTCCTATCATGGTTCATACAGTCCACCCTCCAGTCAAGGGAATCGCCCCTGTGTCAGCTTAATGAGATTCCTGTCCTCAGTGGGAGTTGCTTGTTTCAAGCTTTCCTTATTGCTTCCCCTATATTGCTTCCTGACTGTCTGGCCTTAGTTTGCCCTGTGGTGTGGCCTTCTCTTTCTTTTGACTCTCTGCCTGCTTTCTCTCCTCAGCCTAGTTCCTTTGACACCTTTGCCGTTTGAGTCTTGTTTTGTTGTAGGTTTTTTTGTGTGTGTATGTGTGTCTTAACTTTCTACATCTATAATCCATATTGGCCCACAATAGTGTACATAGTCATGTCCATCTACATAGTCCCCCCCAACCTTGTTTTATTCCCATTTGTATATGAGGATTACGAAAGTGTTTGTTGCCACGTAAGTACACAACACAAAGAAAAATGGCCTTCAAAGGAAATGGGCACAGAATAAATCAGAATGAAATGGACTGAATTCTGTACAAGGATGATATGGAAAAAGGATTAAACATGTATGGCTTAAAAGAAAGTGTGTATATATTGATGAATTGGTGAAAGGTAGAGCCAAACAGTGGGTCAATTTACAAGTGAGGGTAGCTTATTGAGAGAATAGGAAAGAGGAAAAGAAAGTGTTGGAAGAAGAGAAGAACAAGAGTAGATTGGGAAATAAGAAAGGACTGGAAGGAAAATGAAAATATGTGAATAAGAAGGAAAAAATACAGTAAAAAAGAAAACAGGCCTTTATTAATTTTAGTATTAGAGTCATAACTTGTTAGTGTCATGAAATGTGGTATTTTAAAATTCCTTTAAGTTAGTGTAGTACAGCTATTATATTTCAGATTTGAACACTGAGGCCCGGAGAGTAACGTGACTGATTAGTCACACGGCTGAAACTTGCTGAGATGTACTATCGTCCAGATCTAGTATTTTATTTTATAGCATTTGAAATCATATGAAAATAATACTTCCAATTTTTATTATATTATCTCCCTCCCTTCCTGTCTTTGTAATGTGTTATTATAGATAATTATGAACTTACCGTAAAGTAGACAGGAGAATAGAACAAATCTCCTGATATCCATTACCTGGCTCCACCTAACTACCATCAACTCATGGCTATCCTGTTCCAGTCACTCTTGGCCCACCCCTTATTATTTTGTTGCAAATCCCAAATATATAGTTTCACTCCAAAATATTTCCCTGTGTATTTCAGAAATACAAAGATTCTCCTTTTAAAATGAGCATGATTAATGCTATTATTACATCTAAAAAATTAACAGTAATCTTTAATATCATCAGATAGCCAGTCAGGGTTTGCATTTCTAGTTGCATGCCCTTTCATGCCACTGTGCCTTTGCACATGCTGTTCTCTTTCCTCTGTATGCCTCCTCTGTCTTCCTTCACTGCCTACCTAAGTTTCATTTTCTTTTAATATTCAGCTAGTGTCAATGCTTCTAGGAAACTTTGTTTCTCTCATCAATTTAGGTGTCCCTTCAGTGTTACTATATAATCTATACAAACCTCCAACAGAATATTTACAAATTCAAAGTGTGTGTGTGTGTGTGTGTTTACCCCATACACAGATGGTGGATGGATGGATAAATGAATGAGTCCACTGGTTGGTTGGTTGGTCTAAGTTAATGAAAGGTTTTTACATATTCAAAATCCAATAACTTGATGAACTTAGAATAAAATCTAAAATTCTTGGCTCGTATGGCTTCTTATGATGTACCTACTGCCTACCCTAGAGTTTTCTCATACCATTTATTCTTTCATCCCATCTTGTTTTGGTCAAATTTGCCTTCCTTCAATACTTAGTATATGCTAAGTTCTTTTATGTCATAGAGGCTTTGAAAATATTCTTTATGCCTAAGACATTTTTTTAAACTCTCTAGCTGGAAGGCTTTGGATCTCCAAATCTAAATCTCCCTATTACAATCTCTCATTGTACTATTTTCCTTCCTTAAACTGACACAATTTATAACTATATGTTTAGTCAGTGATCAGTTTATTGTCTGACTTTTCGGTAAATGGAAACTCCATGTGGTCAGGGACTATGTCTGTTTTGTTTGCTATTTTCCCTAGTGTCCATCACAGTGTTTGTCCTATAGTGGAATTTATATTTATGTAATTTATGCATTTATATATACATTAATTTCTTTTTGAACATTTTAGATATTCAAGATGATGAAGTGGCAGAAACTGTTTACAGACATAGGAAGACACAGTTACCTTTGGAACTCACAGTGGAACTAACAGAAGAGACATTTAATGCGACAGTAGTGGCTTCTGATAGCATAGTGCTTTTCTACGCTGGTTGTGAGTATGAACCTTTAGAGGGGACGATATTACATATTAGAACATTTAAAGTTGGCGGATCATATTTTTGCGTTCTATATATTGCCTGTTGTAACAGCTATGTAATAGCTTTCATAGTTCCCAGGTAGACTGCACATATTGAACAATTTACTAACTTAGATAAATTATTGTGATTCCAGCTAATGATTTTAATATTTTAACAGTTCTTATGGATCTATAGGAAATATATTGCTTTTATCTTCAAATAATAGCCCTTCAACTATATTCCTTGCAGTATGAGTGCAGAAAATTAGTTGCATTTGGAATCTTCTTGAATGTTTGCACAATACTGAGGACTATATATTAGAATTTCTTATTAAGAAGTAACAATTTTGGGAAACCCCATCAATCTATATGTTTGTTAATATATAGATATGGATGGAGATATGCATGTTGCAATATCTGTTGAATTTTTTGTTTCAATGTAGGGCAGGCAGTATCCATGGCATTTCTGCAATCCTATATCGATTTGGCAATTAAATTGAAAGGTACTGTAATGTGGTATGCATGCTTATTTGATTCTGAGCTGTAGCTATTTGTAAAACCATATCATGCTAAAGATGAATAAAACCACGTAAGATTTCAAGTAATTATATTTGCATCTTTAACATTACATTAATGAACCATGAGTTTCAAAAATGCTCAGAAGCATTCGTCTTGGCTCTCTTCATAGAACTGTCTTCAGTAGAAAGTAGAGAGCCTATGTATTAAGTACTGGAGGTCACACAGTCAATCCAGTAATCTTTTTGGCTGAATTGATTCATGTATTGAGTGCCTACTCTGAATCAGTTACTATTAAATATTATTAAATAAATACTGAATACACTTAAAAATTTGACACATAAGACTCAGTCTCACAGTCTAATCAGCGATCCAAGATCTCAATATTCTTAAAGCTATACAGTTAGCTCCTCATGAACTAGGATATTTTTTATTTCAAATTTTTATTTAAATTCTAGTTAGTTAACATATATAGCAAAATTGGTTTCAGATGTAGAATTTAGTGACCCATCACCCACATACAACACTTAGTGCTCACCACAAGTGCCCTCCTAAATACCCACTATCCATCCAGTCCATCCTCTGCCCACCTCCCTTCATCAACCCCAGTTGCTCTCATAGTCAAGAGTCTTGCATGGTTTGCTTCCCTCTCTCTCCTTTTCTTTTCCTTTCCTTCCCCTGTGTTCATCTGTTTTCTTCCTTAAATTCCACAGATGAGTGAAATCAGATGGTAGTTTTCTTTCTACTGACTGACTTATCTGATTTAGCATTATACAATTTAGCTCTATATGATATTTCTTTTCTTTTTTCTTTTTTGTTTATTCATTTATTTTGAGAGAGAGAGAGTGTGTGTGTGTGTGAACAGGGGAATGGCAAAGAGAGAGGGAAAGAGAGAATCCCAAGCAGGCTCCACTCTGTTAATGCCGTGCCCAAAGCAGGGCTCGATCTCACAAATCGTGAGATTGCGACCTGAGCCAAAATCAAGAGTCAGATGCTTAATTGAGCCACCCAGGTGCCCCACAGGACCTTTCTTAATAGCCACAATCATTTAACTGTTCTATGAAACCTGATCCAGTGTTAGGCAAATAAGAATCCAAGGAATGGACTTGAACTCAATATATTTATGCCATCATCCCAGCAAAGACATAAGGAATATTGTTAGTAAGAAAGAGATAATGATGGAATCCAAGGAATGGACTTGAACTCAAAATATTTATGCCGTCATCCCAGCAAACACATAAGGAGTTTTGTTAGTAAGAAAGAGATAATGATGGAGGGCGCCTGGGTGGCTCAGTCGGTTGAGCGTCCGGCTTCGGCTCAGGTAATGATCTCACGGTAGGTTTGAGCCCCGCATCAGGCTCTGTGCTGACAGCTCAGAGCCTGGAGCCTGTTTCAGATTCTGTGTCTCCCTCTCTCTCTGCTCCTCCCCTGCTCGTGCTCTGTCTCTGTCTCTCTCTCTTTCAAAAATAAATAAACATTAAAAAATTTAAAAAAAAAGATGATGGATTAAGATAGTGTTTTGTAATCATTGAATGTATCATGCTTCATATCTGTAATATGATTTCTTCCTACTGTTTTTCTTGTAAATAAATAGAAGTTGTTCTAGTTAAACAGGCTTATTCTCATAGCTGTTATATGAATGTATTTAACATTTAGTTTTTTTGGGCACTAACCTACAGGCTCTTTTATTATTTAGTAAGTTCTTTATGAATAGGTAGCATGCCTTATGCTTAGCTCACTGGACTTGACATATTGCCTTACACTGTAGAATATTTGGTTTTTAATAATTGTTGAATAAATGCATAAACTAATATAGTAGAGTTTAGTGGAAAATATATACTAGTGTACAACTTATTTATATATTGGGGACTTTGTAAACTCAAGAAATTGCTTCCAGAAAGTCAGTCCTAAATATAACATGTTCTATATTAATAAAAACATCAGAGATTTAAAAAATCACTTTTGAACAATTTCTCCTCAGTTCATTTGTTAACCACATTTGATCCAACTTTTGATTATTTGAAGTAAAGATATTATTAAGTCTGTAGATATTGTGATTCCTAATCTTTTTTTAAAAAAAGCAAATCCTGTTACTCTCTTTCAGATTCTTCTTTATGGTTACAATCTATGGAAAGATTCAAGTTTCTTCTTTTAGGTTCTCCAGGCTCATTGGCAAAATATTAGAAGAGAGAAAATAAAAGGGGGGAAATATAAACCATATTGAAGTAATAATTAGATAATGTCCCTGAATAATAGAATTATCCCTCCATCCAGCCCATTTGTCAGATACTAAATGAAAATGGAAAAAGATTCCTTTACTTTCTTCTCTATTAATGATCAAATAAAGAGCCTACCTGATCTCTCAGTTCCAGGACTCTGAGTTGTATGTGTTTGTAGAATAAAAAGCAGATAACCAACCCAAGACGTGATTTCCTTTTTCATTTAGTACGTTCTTTGTAACAGTCCTTTTAGTAATTAGATATTGGACAAATGGAGTGTTTTAGAAGTTCAGGGGGCTTAATGTAGAGACATGTATAGGTAACTATAGTGTTTTATGTCTGCATTGAAGCCCATACTATAACTTTGTAAATTAGGAGAATATTTTAATACTTTGGGCATTTAGTCCTATAACCTTTCACATTAACTTTGTGGGGAAAAGCCACTTTTCATCTTAGTCGAAGATGATGAAGGATATTTTATCCTCAGTCACAAGGTGGCAGCAAATATCAAGTATTTATACTTACCTAGCCTCTAGCTTAGAGAACCTGTTTGGTTTTTTTTGTTTTGTTTTGTTTTTTCATTTAAATTGGGAACACTGTTTGAAATTCCTGCATTGATAAAGTATGGAGGATGTAATACTGCAGACATCTTAGAATATTAGACTGTTCTAGTTGAAACATGATTAAATATCGAAACCATTTTACTTAATTTTTAAAGTTTATTTATTTTGAGAGAGAGTGAGAATGTGCCAGTGTGGGAGGGGCAGAGAGAGAAGGAGAGAGAGAGAATCACAAGCAGGCTCTGCATTGACAGCGTTAAGTCCAACCCGGAGCTTGTACTCATGAACCACCTGGGCTGAAACCAAGACTCAGATGCTTAACCAGCTGAGCCACCCAGGTGCCCCTAAATATTGAAACCATTTTATAGGGAAAAAAATTAAAATTTTAAATTGATAACTTTAATATAAGTTAGCCTTATCACTTTTTTTTCCCCGTTTTATTCATTTTTCAGTTTTGAAGATAACATCAAAATTTTCAACTTGGGCTGCAGGGACAAAGGAATAATAACTTTTTTAGCAGTGATAGACCTGTTGAGAATGCCTATTGAAGGGAAAAAACTGCATTTGTAATAGTTCTATATTTCATACTTGGGTGGCATTATATAATACAGTACTCTGTATGAATAAGTATCACTAGATATTTGTTGACGAAATGATTAAAATAACAGATGAAAGAACTTTGTAGAGAAGTCATTTCGCAGATGTAATTTCAGAAGGAATAAGGATTTATTTTTGTTTATATGTTCATACAATATTCAGGTTTAATATACTTTAGTGTTAAAAATGAAATTTTGTTCATGAAGAAATATCAGGGTACATTCCACAAATTTTCACTGGGTACGTACTAAGTAACAGACATTGTGCTGTGCAGCAGGAGTATAGTGGTGAATAAGACAGACTGCACCCTGTATGAGTTATCAAACAGATAGCTAACAGGAGATCTGAAGTGATAAGTTATTGCATCTGAGTGGTATAATCTAGAATTATTTAAGATAAAAATTTTTAATATTTAAAATTTTTTGGTGACAAAATATTAAAATATTTCAGTTTACAACTTTAATTATATGGTGAGGTTATACCCTACATTAGGAAATATCCCAAATTGATAGTTTCCTTCTTTGATACAATATTAAGGTTTCCTTTTATTAGAATGTATTTTTTACTCTTAGTAGTTGAGTTGTGTGGTTCTTGTTTTATTTGGGTTTTGATCTCATTCTGCCTAACAATTTACATATTTTGGAGAACTTTACATATATTATTTACAGAACAAGTAAGAATCTGTATTTGTGATTCCACTATATGTTTTTTAGGCAGAAAATAAAGTATTTAGATAGGATGGGGTACCTGAAGCCTTATATGAGTCTCCTGTATGTCATTTATTCACACACTGTTTAGGTGTTTCATGTAGGAGGACTCCTCTAGATGTGAAAATCAGTGTTGAGTAAAACAACACTGTCCCTACTCTCAAGGAGCTCTCTTCGTAGAGACAGACATTAGTCATGTAACAACACAAATGAGTATGTAATTAATGAGACAAGGACAGGAGATGGTTCATAAGAGCAAAGGAAACTGATGTAGATTAGCGTGTCTGAGAAGGCTTTCTTGTAGTGATCATACATGCAGAGATCTGAAGGGATGAGAGAGACCTAATGGCAAAGGTTGGTAGGAGTTGGCTGATCCCAAAACAGATTCGAGTTTTGAAAAGATATCTATCTCTAGGTTCAGGGTAGAGACATAATCAGGTTCAGGGAGACAAAGTAAGAGCCTATTGTATTATGTAGGAGAAATGATGGCTGGAGTACAGTCAGTAATGAAAAATGGACAGATGTGAGAGGCAGTTGACCCTTGAATAAGGTGGGGATTAGGGATACCAACTCCCCCGCATTGTCAAAAATCCTCATGTAACTTTTGACTTCCCCCACACTTTACTAATAGCCTGCTGTTGGCTGGAAGCCTTGCTGATAACATAAAGAGTCAATTAACATATATTTTGTGTATTATGTGTATTATATACTGTATTCTTTCAGAAAGTAAGCTAGAGAAAAAAATGTTAAATTGTAAGAGAAAATACATTTATAGTACTGTACTGTATCAGAAAAAATCCACGTGTAAGTGAACCTGTGCATTCCAAACCCATGTTCAAAGGTCAAATTGTATTTTTTTTTTTTTTTTTTACATTTATTTTTGAGAGACAGAGCACAAGCAGGGGAGGGGCAGAGAGAGAAGGAAAGAGAATCCGAAGCAGGCTCCAGGCTCCGAGCTGACAGCACAGAGCCTGATGCAGGGCTCGAACTCACAAACCATGAGATCATGACCTCAGCCGAAGTCGGATGCTCAACCGACTGAGCCACCCAGGCGCCCCAAGGTCAAATTGTATTTAAAGTTTAGGTGGTCTGTTTTCTTCTTAAATTCCACATGAGTGATATCATATGTTATTTGTCTTTCTCTGACTGACTTATTTCGCTCAGCATAATACTCCAGCTCCATCCACATCATTGCAAATGGCAAGATTTCATTCTTTTTAATGGCTGAGTAATATTCCACTGTGTGTGTGTGTGTGTGTGTGTGTGTGTGTGTGTGTGTGTGTGTATTTATATATACCACCTCTTCTTTATCCATTTATCAGTCGATGGACACTTGGGCTCTTTCCGTAATTTGGCTATTGTTGATAGTGCTGCTATAAACATCAGGGAGCATGTGTCTCTTCGAATTTCTACTTTTTATCCTTTGGGTAAATACTAGTAGTGCAATTGCTGGATGGTAAAGCAGTTCTATTTTTAACTTTTTAAGTGAGCAGTGGGTGTTGTATGCAAGTGATGAATCACTAAATTCCACACCTGAAACTAATATTACACTGCATGTCAACTAACTGGGATTTAAATAAAAACTTGAAACTCTAAAATAAAGTTTAGGTGATAAGATGGAAAAGACATGCTGATTGATTTGACTAGACATGGAAGTTTAGGAATGGAGTGACACTAAAGCTGATACTTTGTTTTCTGATTTGTGTAAGAATGGCAGCCTATAGGCAGGAAACCATAGACATATTGAATTTGAGGACGTTTCCATTCAAAGAGAAATACAGAAGGCAGTAGGGATACATGGGTCTAGAACTGTAAGGAAGAGGCTGGGTCAAAGATAAAAATATAGGATTCATTCTGTTGTTGATAATTACTGAGATTGTCTGGGAAGAGAGTGTATAACAAGAGAAGGCAACTTAAACTGAGCCTTGAGGAACTCCTATCTCTGCTGTCAGAAGAACATGCAAAAGGGACCAAAACAGAACAGCACAGGAGGTGGGGAAATAAGCCAGAAGGGGAAGGTGTTGCAAAACTCAGGGGAAGAGAGAGTCCTGCAGAAACAGTTCATGCTGATGAGAGGTTAAAATAAGAATGGACAATAAAAATATTGTCAAGTCTACCCAACTGAGTTTTCTACACTAATATTTATAAAATGTGCATTTTCATTTTATTTAGGCACATCCACTATGCTGCTTACTAGAGTGAACTGTGCAGATTGGTCTGATTTATGTACTAAGCAAAATGTTACTGAATTTCCAGTTGTAAAGATGTACAAGGAAGGCAAGCACCCAGTATCTTATGCTGGTATGTTAGGAACTGAAGATCTCCTAAAATTTATCCTGCTGTAAGTATTCACGTTCTTCCTAAGACTTTAAAAATTTTAGGTCTATAAACCTTCTAATTCCCATGCTTTGTTGACATACTTTGAATAGGTTAAGGAGTAATGAATTGAGATAACAGGATAAACGGTGGGGAGAGCCTATCCACATCACTTTTGGGGAGATAGAAATTTTATTTAATGAGGGTGATTTTTTTTTTTTTTCAACGTTTATTTATTTTTGGGACAGAGAGAGACAGAGCATGAACGGGGGAGGGGCAGAGAGAGAGGGAGACACAGAATCGGAAACAGGCTCCAGGCTCCGAGCCATCAGCCCAGAGCCTGACGCGGGGCTCGAACTCACGGACCGCGAGATCGTGACCTGGCTGAAGTCGGACGCTTAACCGACTGCGCCACCCAGGCGCCCCTAGGGTGATTTTTTTAAAATTACAAGAGTATTTAATTGTCTTTGTTTTGTCAGATATTTATCGTGTGGAATGTAGTGTTTGCTAAGTTCAATATGTTTTATTTTTTATTTTTTGCAAGCTGAAAAGTGTCTTTAAAAATTAATTTTGAATGTAGTTATATATTCATCCAGCAACAGGATTTCATGCCCAGTGAACATAACATCTGTGCAGGAAGCAGAAGAATATTTAAGTGGGGAATTATATAAAGACCTGATCCCCTACTCTAGTGTGTCTGTGCTGGGACTATTTAGCCCAAACATGACCACAGGTGAGTAGAAGTGAACTTTTAAATTATGTAATAGTTAAAAACTTGCTTACTAGCTTTACTTTTAAAAAGGAATTAGTATCTTTTTAAATTATAGAGAACTCAAATTATAGAATTTTTAAAATGCAGAGAAATTTGAAGAAAAAATAAAAATCCAAAATTAGAGTTATTAAATTTTGATGTAATTCCTTCCCTCATTTTTCTTTGTACCTATCTTTGTACCTACCTTTCTTTGTACCTAAAGCATATTAATATGTTTTAATATAATTGGACTAGTACTGTGTATCTAGGTTAGTAACTTGCTGTTTTTATTTAATATTACATGGGTTCATCTTTTCCATGTGATTAGTATTCTTCAGAAACATTATGGCTGTATATTTGGATGAATATACTGTAATTTAACTATTTACCAACAAATAACACCTGTTGTTTTCCTTTTTTCTTTTTGCTGTGAAGAATATTTTTATTTATGCATCTTTGTGTGGAATTTAGACCATTTAATGGATAAATTGATAAATTGATAAATTCCCAAAAGGAGAATAACTATGTTTTCTATAAGCTGTGTGTTATATGTGTTATTCATTTTTAGAAATGGGTTTTTAGTGCTTGTCTAATGAATTACTATGAGATTTTTATGTATTAAGGTTGTTAAGTTCTTGTCATTTGTTTCAGTTATTTTCCCCCAGTTTGTTTAGTTTTTAGCTTTGTTTAATAATTTTATATTTAACAGTTTAAAATTTGTTTTCAAATCCATTGATTTTGATATTTCTTCCATTGATTTCAATTATAGAAAATCTCTATCATCTTTATCAGTTAGTATTCACCTGTATATTTTCTTTTTGCTTTAATTTATAATATTTTCTTACTCTATATTATCTTCCTTTGAATATTTTTTAAAATTGTGGTAAAATATACATAACATAATTTACCATCTTAACTATTTTTCAGCATATAGTTCACTAGTGACAAGTATATATACATTGCTGTACAACTAATCTCCAGAACTTTTTCATTTTGCAAAACTTAACTCTGTACCTATTAAACAACTCTACATTTCCCTGTTGGCCTAGTCCCTGGCAGCCTCCGTTCCACTTTGTATCTCTATGAATTTGACTACGCTGGGTACTTCCTGTAAGTGGAATCATACAGTATTTGTCTTTTATTGGCTGGCTTACTTAGCATGATGTCCTCAAGGTTCATCCATGTTGTATCATATGTCAGAATTTCCTTTCTTTTAAAGGCTGAATAATATTTCGTTGTATGTATATAGCACGTTTTACTTATCCATTCATCTGTTGATGGACACTTGGATTGTTTTTACCTCTTGGCTATTGTGCATAATGCTTCTGTGAACATGGGTGTTCAAATATATCTTCAGGACTCTGCTTTCAATTCTTTTAGATATATACCCAGAAGTGGAATTGCTGTGTCATATGATAGCCCTACTTTTAAATTTTTGAAGAACCACTATACTGTTTTCCCTAGTGGCTGTACCATTTTATATTCCCACCAATAGTATACAAGGGTTCTAATTTCTCCATATCCTCAGCAACACTTGTTATTTTCTGTTTGTTTGTTTGTTTGTTTGTTTGTTTGTTTGTTTTTGATAGTAACCATCCTAATGGGTGTTAGGTTTGATTTGATCATGGTTTTGATTTTCACTTTCCTAATAAGTAGTGATATTGAACATCTTTTTATGTCTTGTTGGCCGTTTGTATATCTTCTTTGGAGAAATGTCTGTTCAAGTCCTATGCCCATTTTTTAATCGGGTTATTGTTGTTGAGTTGTAGGAATTCTTTATATATTCTGGAAATTAACCCCTTATCATATATATGAATTGCATATATTTCTTTCTGTTCCATGGAATACCTTTCCACTTGTTGACTGTGTTCTTTGACCTTTTTTCTTTTTAAGTCTTTACCATTTAGATATTTTTTGTGCATGATATGAAGCTGGAGACAACTCTATTTTTGTCTAAATAGTTAATTATCTGTTTTCCCCTCTTTTTTTTTTTTATTCCACTGTCACCTTATTAAATCCATGTCTGTATGTGTGTATATATATCTGTTTAAATGTTTTCTCTTTTATTCACTTTTATCTCCCTAATATAATAGTTTTTTAATACGTGTTGAATATATAATTGGGTCAACTCTGGTTTGCCTTTTTTTGCCTGTTGACTCTTCCAGGTGAACTTCGGTCCTTCACACATAATTGTCTCAACTTATTTGTATGTCCGTTGCTTGTTTTATGCTTCACTATTATCTCTTTAGTTAGTTTAGTCTACATGGAATATGCTTTCAATTTCTTCTGTCATCTTTTTCTCTATATGGGCTTCTATAGTCTTGTATTGTAAACTCAGATTATCATTATTCTTGAACTTTTTTTTTTGCATTGTATATTTCTCTTCGAATTTTTTGCATTTTTCTAGCATTTTATTATGAAAAATTTCAAACTTACAGCAAAAGTTGAAAGATTTTATAGTGAACAGCCATATACCCATCATCTAGTTTCTAGTATTAGCATTTAACTTGTACTTGACTTAGCATGTGCCTGTGCATCTATCCATCCTTCTTCCATCCATCAATTACTTCATCTTATTTTTGATGCATTTCAAATGTTTTTTCTTTTTTTAAAAATTTTTTAAATGTTTTATTCATTTTCTGAGAGAGAGAGAGAGAGAGAGAGAGAGAGAGAGAGAGCAGGCAAGGGGCAGAGAGAGAGAGGGACACACAGAATCCAAAGCAGGCTCCACAGCCCGGAGCCTGACGTGGGGCTCAAACTCACGAAACAAGATCATGACCTGAGCCATAGTCAGAAGTTTAACTGACTGAGCCACCCAGGCGCCCCAAATTAATGTTTTTTTTTTTTCATTCAGCGTTGATACATTGCTGATAGCAATTAATTTTACCTTGTTAGTTTTACATAGATAGCATCATAGACTAGAGTGTTCTTTTGATATCACATCTTCTCTATTTTTAGACTATTTTTTTCTAGCTTCATAGGAATGTCCTACAATAAGTTTTAAAGGAAGTGTACACAGGGCATTCTTCCTAACTGGTAATATTGCTTAGAATGTTATTCTCTTGCTTTTGCATACGAATGGTTTCTTGACTAGGTAACAAAATCCTTAGTGGTGGTTTTTCTTTTTTCATCATGTTAGCTGTTGGCATTTATCTAACAAACCTGCCCCCTTACTTTTCTTTCATTTAAGATGAATTTCAAATTCTGAATAAAGTCTTTCAAGGATATTTTTATGGAAAGAATATCCCCATATCTAGCATCAAACTTACAGATAGTGGATACTATCTTCTATCTACTTATTAAGTTTGCTTTCTACAAGTTTCTGTCTAGTAATTTTTCCCCTCTACTTGGCCTTCACAATCTTTTAAAATAAAAGCCAACATAACTTACTAGAAAGAAATGATAAGAATATGAATGCGTGTTCTGTGACTTCCCATCTTAGAAGGCAAAATCCTAGAGGGGATAGCTTTTTCATTTGTATTTTTATGAAAAATTGTGAAATGAGGAAGTTTATTTTTTACTCCTGTATTTTTGCCTTTCTGATGTTTTTGCTTCCACCGTTGACTTTGTCTTCTGTCTACCTCTGGTGCCCTGAGGTTGTCATTTATTATTTACTCTGGGCCTCCTTCCAAAAAGGATTAAGGTCTTTAGATAATAAAAAGTACACATACAATAAAATCATTAAAACAAGAATAAGAGTTAAGCCATAAAAGAGTAGGGGATAATTATGTAAAATACTTTGAAAACACTGCAGTTGATCATAAAACTTAACCCTAAGTAATCTGGTATCAACTGGAAACAGAAAGATGAAATTTTTGCCAGCTAATCATCGTTATATGATAAATGGCAACATAAAAGTTAGGATGCTGACTCATCCACAGAGAAAACTTTTCCCTGATTGTAAATGCTGAGAGGGATTTTACATATATCTTTTATGTAAGAGATCAGCACAGGGAACAGTATACTTTATGATAATTTTGTACAAATGATAAGATTTACATATAATTGTCTCTCAACACAAGTCAAAGGTATAGTGTTAAAATATATAGAGATCGTTTTGCTGTGCCAGAATGATGTAATCTGGGGACAGTGCTTTTTTATTATTTCACTAGATTGATTGTTCTCAGACTTTTCAGTCAGGTATTCATCTCTTTTTTGTTGTTTTTGTTTTTTGCAGATGTCCAGGTGATAGTTACTGTACTTTCAATATCTATTGAATGAGAAAATGTGTAACAGTAAAAGGCTACTATGAATTCATTAACATTTTATGTACATTTGTATTTGACTCATAAATATAACTACTGACATTTACTGTGCAGTTATTTTATATCAGATACTGATTTATTGTTCATGTAGATTCTAATGATTTAAAAAAATTTTTTTTAATGTTTATTTATTTTTGAGACAGAGAGAGACAGAGCATGAGCAGGGGAGGGGCAGAGAGAGAGGGAGACACAGAATCTGAAACAGGCTCCAGGCTCCGAGCCGTCAGCACAGAGCCCGACGCGGGGCTCGAACTCACGAACTGTGAGATCATGACCTGAGCCGAAGTCGGACGCTTAACCGACTGAGCCACCCAGGCGCCCCGATTCTAATGATTTAAAGATTAATATAATGCGAATTCAATGAGGGCGAAAATGTCTCCTTTGTCCATTGTTGTATCTGCGAGGTCTCTCTCTGTTTTTTCCCTCTGTAATTAATAAGTATGTTGTGGGGATAGAATGTAAGACTTTGTAAACATCCTGTTTCTCATTATACTTTTGCACTCCAGTGTTAGAATCCATTGCTTGAAAGAGCTATCACTATGATGGTTGCCAGTGGAAAATTTCTAACTCCCTATTCCTTCTATATACATACTCAAATAGTTCTCCTGTAAGAGCTTTTCCTTCTAATTTGTTTTTCAGTATGGACACCTGAGTTCTTATTTTATTCAGTGGGTTATAATCAGTTACAATCATTCATTTGCTAACATCTCAGATTTGGTCAGTGGGAGCCCCTTCAATCTGACTCCTGTGTCCTTTTGACATGTCTCCATCATTCTTTCAGTATGTCCTTTTGGCACAAGATGTTCCCAGTTTCATTTGTGGGATCAGCCATTTCTCCAAGAGTCTAGGTTCCTTTTAGTGGGACATTGAATTCAGAAACCAAGATCTAGGGATTAGGAGTGCTTTTAGTTACTGGAGGGCTCTTGTTTCTCAACTCTTGTTGACAGAGCTAAAAAAATAAGTGTGTGTAGTAGTATGTGTATATATGTGTGTGTATAAATGTAACTATTCAATAAAATGTGATAGTGGGAAAACAGTATTGCTAAACTACTGTATTTATTTTATGCAATTAAAACATGTTTATAGTTACACAACTAAATATTATAACTATTATTACATCCCAGATACATTTATTGTGATTTAAAAACCTTTTTATTTAGATTAACTGATTATTTTTTTATACTTGGGGTTGCAGTATATTCTGACATATATGCTGTTTTCACCAAGGAGGAGAATATGCTTGGTTTTAAGTGTTCAGAGGATAACTGGCAGTCTGGTTTAGTAGAAGTGGATGTGTTTCTACAGTCTTAAATGCTTCCATTATGAGCAAGTAAATTTATGAAGAGCCTTTTAAGAAACGTATTCATGAGTAGAGAGGCTTCTGTGTGAGGAAAGTACATGGAAATATTAGTGTAATTTTCCACTGTTCTTTACCGAAAAAGAAAAGAAGCTGAAACAGGTTCCATTATGTCATTGCTTTAGCTAATGATCATCAATTATTGACCAGAATTTAGCTCTGTTTTCTCTTAGAAATGAAAGTATAGGGACTCAGTTCTTTCCAGTTTTTTTCATATGAACCTTTTCTGCTTTGGTGTAACACAGGCTTTAGAAAATATTTTCTGTGATAGTAACAGTTTCTCATTAAATTCATGGTTATAAATAGCTCTGAATGCTGCCTACTGGCTGACTGTGCCACTTTAGTAAGTTGGCTTTCCTACAGTGTTTCTCAGTCTTGTGGAAAGTATGCATCCTTTTTAGAGAACATAACCTTGTGGTTACCTGATGGTAACAGTGCTGATGCTCACACCAGAGATATAGTCGTGACTGCTAAGGTACAGATCTTTTGGGTTCAGCATGTCCAGAGCACGAGGTGCTTTATGACTCAATTCTTCCATCATGAATTTTCTGTTTGAACTGCCATGAACCTTCCTTGTAGTGAGCTAAATTATCATCTGGTCTTCACTTGGCAAGAATACATCATTTATATAAGTTTTCCTCTGCTCTTTTCTCATTGGTCTGCAAGTATTTAATTCACAGTTGCTTCTTGGTTATAAGATAGTCATTAACATGAATCAGAATATACTATTACCTATGATACTGTATTCAGAATGCTATAGAAATAATAATTTTTAAATATCCTAACAAATGAGAAAAGACTGACGCATAAATTAATCAAGGTTCAAAAGTAACAAAAACACATTACAGAAAATACAGGAAATAAAAAAAGATACAAATCCCTCATAATTGCAGAATCCTAACACAGACATTATTAAAGGACTATAATTTCTAATCTTCTATTTTTTCTGTGCATATAGGTACTTTTAGATTTTGTAATGACAGTGCGCACATTATTTCACATATCTCCTTCTCTTTCCAAACTATATATAAGGCAACCAACTCTATTTACCCACATTAGAGTGTAAATTAAAAAGCAACAAATATTTATTCAGTAACTCTCTATGACTAGAGTGCTGTAAATCTGATAAATCACATTTACAGTACATTTGTTTAGGGAACCATAATTGCATTATATCAATTTACATTTCTATAGTAATCAAATGTCATAAAAAGAACACAGATTTTAGAACCACTAAGTTATATAAGATCTACCTGTAAATATTTATCTTTATAATTAATTTCTAATAAAGCACAATCATTTATAAATCTGTCCATCGGTTGAATAGCACACATAATTTTAAAGGTTTCAGATTTTTGTCTTGTCTATGTATTTATAGCAAAAGAAGATTTCACCAAAGCGGGAAACTACCTAAGAGGATGTGTTATCACTGGAATTTATTCTGAAGAAGATGTTTTGATACTGTAAGTTTATTGGTCTTCTAATTTTAGAGAGGAAGAAGTTTGCAAAATAATACATTTCTAGTTTTTACACAGTTGAAGGAAAATAGGGCAGCAATATAACTAACTTTGATTTTTAATTAAATGTTTAATTTCCTTGTAAGAAGATCTGGGCAGCAGCATCTGGCTATTTAGAATTCTTAGATACTCTTTTGCTTTAGGATAGAGTCCCTACAGGGGCAACCTTGGATTCATAATACTTTATCTTTCTATAAAAATTTTTCCGGTTTGGGTTCTATTATTTGCAACTTTGGTTCTCTGAAATTGTCATAGTTTTGGGGGGAATTTTACTTCTTCAAGTGTCCAGGTTTTGATTTGCCACCAAGGTATATATAAAAATGAGAATTTCCCCATGTTGTTGCTCTTTTAGCCATGTAAGTTGCTTTATTTGTAGAATGTGGAACTCAGATATTTCACTTGCCTCAGAATGAAGGACTGAACATTTGGAGATTATTACATATACAATACATACAGTAATACATCTATATCACATTCTGCATTAATGGCTTGTTTTCAGGTCCAGATGGAGTTGGTAAGCCCCCTCCCTAGTTTATCTTGCTTATTATAGTATTCCTAATTGTGATTTCTGAGCTTAAATCTTCCATCATGAACACTGGTGATGTATACTTTTGATGATCAAGCTCCATTTCTGCCCATGAAGTCAATGACTTTTGAAAAGTAAATACTGAACTCCAGATCTTTAAGAAATAAGAGACTTATTCACCTGACACATGGATAGTCACCCACTATGTTCTGTTCTGCTGTCATTGTGCATTTAACTAAGATCCAAAGCGCTAGACCAGTAGTTTTCAGAGTATGTTTTATTTATAACCAACTGATCAGCTTAAGAGGTAATCTAAAGGCTGGACTGTCCACTAATGTTTATAATATTATAATGTTTATACTTGGTTCTAGCATCAGTTTTTACATCATATAAATGTGACTACTTCAGGGGTGGTTTTACAGAAATCATTTTTTTCTGTTTAGTGATTTCCCTTTAGTTAGCAAAAGTAGTGGTAAGAAGGAGCAGATTTAGGCTGCGTTACAGTGGAGAGAGCATCGAGTTTATATCTGGGGCACCTCAGTTTGAATCCTGTCTCTGCCATTTATCACTCTCTGAGTCCTGGTTTCCTCATCTATAAAATGGGGGTGATAGTGGCATACATTATAGGGCTGTTCTGGGGTTAAGTGAAAACTAAAGGCATCTAAAAGAGTGCCTGGCAAATAGTAGGTTTCTAATAAATGCTTGTCTCCTTGCTTAGCAGTATGGTGAGCAGTCCAAAAAGATTGAGAACCATTCAGTATGTTCCTAATCCTATTTAGACATTTTCTTGATGAGTAAGTTGTCTAGAAAAAAAAAAAAAGAATCTGTCTAGATTATTATCTGTTGCTTTCTTTTTTAAAAAAATTTTTTTTTCAACGTTTTTTATTTATTTTTGGGACAGAGAGAGACAGAGCATGAACGGGGGAGGGGCAGAGAGAGAGGGAGACACAGAATCGGAAACAGGCTCCAGGCTCCGAGCCATCAGCCCAGAGCCTGACGCGGGGCTCGAACTCATGGACCGCGAGATCGTGACCTGGCTGAAGTCGGACGCTTAACCGACTGCGCCACCCAGGCGCCCCTCTGTTGCTTTCTTTTAATCTAGGTTGTCAAGGCTCCTAAATTTCTTCAGACAGCCTCACAAAGAAGATAAATTTGCCTGCAAATTGAGTTCATTTCTTCCTTAGTAGTAGGGCTTCTCATTTGCTGCCTCCCAATCTGAGCTCTTGGTGTAATTATTTGTTTTTGATGACTTGCTATATATTATTGGAAATTTTAATACTGCGTTTCTCCACAGGTCAAATAAATATGGGGCAACACTTCCAGCTCTGCTGCTGGCCAGACACAAAGAGGGCAAAGTAGAGAGCGTTCCATTCGCTAACTCCCATGTGCAAGACATAGTTCAAATAGTGACAAATGCATTACTGGAGACATTTGTGAGTATATTTTATAATAAGGATATTATTTGAAATAGAGAATCTAGAAGAGTTAAAAATAGTATATTTTAATACACAATTTTCCAGCTTTTTTTGGCAGATGGCATGATGTTTTATGAGCTGAAAATTCATTGGGTTGCTCTGTTTTGTTCACTCATTATGATATAGCTTCTGTAGTCCACTGCCAAAAGTTTACATGTTTTTGGATTATTTTTTTTTATTGTGGAGACTAGTGTAGCTGATAGCTAGTTGAAGGAAGTACTCAATCTAAGCTGAAACTTGGTATAGAGCACATGGATTCTGGGGAGTCAGACTGCCTAAGTTTAAATCCTTGCTTCTTTCCTTACTGGCTCTTTGTTAACTTCTCTGTGCCTCACTTTCCACATGTGTAAAATGTAGTTGATGGTAGTACCTGCTGCAGAGACTTATCATGAGAACCAAATGAGACCAGTGTACAGTGTTTTGGGTAGTGTTTGGCCACTGGTAAACATTAAACAAATGTTAGCTAAGATTCTTATTTAAACAGTTTCAGAACAAAGTAGTGTCTCATGAAAGGCCTTTTCCAGTGCTTCCTTTGAAAATAGTGGATTCAAGGGCATAACACTTTTTTTTTTTTAATATATGAAATTTATTGTCAAATTGGTTTCCATACAACGCAGTGCTCATCCTCCCAAAGGTGCCCTCTCAATACTCTCTCCTCCGCCCCTCCCCACCCTCCCCACACCCCCCCCATCAACCTCAGTTTGTTCTCCCAGTTTTTTTAACAGTCTCTTATGCTTTGACTCTCTCCCACTCTAACGCACCCACCTTCCCCCTCCCCCATGGGTTTCTGTTAGTTTCTCAGGATCCACATAAGGTGGCTCCACCTTAGTGTGTCTTTCTCTGTATATGAAACTATTTCATAGCATCACACTCTCCCACTTCCATCCCATTGCTACCAAAGGCCATGCTCTATTTCATTTTTCTCATTGCCGTATTCCATTATAAAACCACAATTTCTTTATCCATTCAGTTGATGGACATTTAGCAGGCTCTTTCCATGTATTTGGCTATTGTTGAGTACCCCCTTTCTGCAAACACTTCAGGGGTACCAAGTACCCCTAACCATCAGTAATACTCTGTATCCTTGGATAAATCCTAGCAGTGTGGGTCATAGGGTGGAGTCTATTTTTAATTTTTCTGAGGAGACCTCACACTGCTTTTAGAGCATTTGCACCAGTTTGCATTCCACCAACAGTTGAAGGGGTTCCCATTTCTCCACATCCTCCAGCATCTATAGTCTCCTGATTTGTTGTTTGGCCACTCTGACTGGTGGGGTGATACCTGAGTGGTTGATTTGTATTTCCCTACCAAATGAGGCGGCGTTGAACATCTTTTCATGTGCCTGTTGGCCATCTGGATCAATATCTTCTTTAGAAGTGTCTATTCATGTTTCTGCCCATTTTCTTCACTGGTTGTTATTGTTTTTGGGTGTGTGGAGTTTGGTGAGCTCTTTTATAGATTTTGCATACTGTACTTGTCCATGTATGTCATTTGCAAATACCTTTTCCATTCCACGTTGGTTGCCTTTTTTAGTTTTGATTGTTTCCTTTGCTGTGCAGAAGCTTTTTTATCTTCATAAGGTCCCAGTATTCATTTTTTGCTTTAATTCCCTTGCCTTTGGGGATGTATGCAGGTAAAAATGATTACTACTATTTGAGGTCAGGGGAGGTCTTTTTTCTCCTCTAAGGTTTTGATGGTTTTCCTGTCTCACATTCAGGTCCATCCATTTGAGTTATTTTTGTGAATGGTGCTTGAGAAAAGTGGTCTAGTTCAACCTTCTGCCATGTTGCTGTCAGTTCTCCCAGCACCATTTGTTCGCAAAGATATCTTCTTTCCATTGGATATTTCTTTCCTGCTTTGTCAAAGATGAGTTAGCCTCTCGTTTACGTGGGTCCTAGTTCTGGGGTTTCTATTCTATTCCATTGGTCTATGGTGTGTCTGTTTTTTGCCAATACTATACTGTCTTGATGACTGATAACTTTTGGCGTGAAGAGCCCAAAAGAATCTATGATTAATGATGCCTCTGATCTTCTTCTTCAATTTAGCTATTGGCGGGCCTTGCTTGTGGTTCCATAATGAATTTTAAGGATTCCTTGTTCTAGTTTCGAGAGGAAAAATGCTGAGTGCAATTTGATTAGGTGCATTGAATATGGCGAATAACTGGGTGATGACCAACATTTTGACAATGTTTATTCTTCCAATCCATATGACGAAAATATCTTTTCCATTTCTTTTAAATCTTTCTTTCAATACCTTCATAAGTTTTCTACTGCTAGTTTTCAGCATGCACACAGATAACATCTTTGGTTAGATTTATTCCCTAGGTATTTTATGCTTCTTGGTACAGTGAATAGGATCAGTTTCTTTATTTGCCTTTCTAGCTTCATTGTTAGTGTATAAGAATCCTGGCGATTTCTGTACATTGATTTTGTATCCTGCAACTTTGCTGAATTCAGCCTTATCGATTCTAACAGACTTTTGGTGAGTCTATTGTTTTCCATAATATAATATGTCATCTGCAAAAAAAGCTTGACTTCATCTTTACCCAATTTTTGATGCCTTTGATTTCTTTTTGTTGTCGTTGCTGATGCGCTAAGAACTTCCCTTTCTATGTTCTTGTAACAACAGCCGTTGAGGGTGGGCATCCCTGTCATGTTCCTGATCTCAGGGGAAAACTCTGGTTTTTCCCCGATGAGGATGATGTTAGCTGTGGGCTTTTTTCATAAATGGCTTTGATGTTTAAATGACTTCTATCTGGCTTTCTCAGGGTTTTTTATTGAAGGGTGCTGGATTTTGTCAAAGGCCTTTTTTTCTGCATAATTGAGCAGGATCCTTATGGTTCTTCTTCTTTTTTTTTTGTTAAGTGATGTATCTGCGTTGATTGATTTAGATATTTAGACACCCTGCAGCCCAGGAATGAATCCATGATCATGGTGATAATTCTTTTTTTATATGCTGTTGAATTAGATTTGCTAGTATCTTATTGAGAATTTTTGCATCCCTTCATGTGAGGGGATATTGGCCTGTGGTTCTTTTTTTACCACTGGTCTCTGTCTGGTTTAGAGTCAATGCATACTGGCTTCATAGAATGAGTCTGGAAGTTTTTCTTCCTGTTCTTGGAATAGCTTGAGAAGGATGGGTATTATCTTTGTAGCGTCTGATAGAACTCCCCTGGGAAACCTCTGGTCCTGGACTCTTATTTGTTGAAGTTTTGATAACCGATTCAATTTTCTTAGCTGGTTATGGGTCTGTTCAGCTTTCTATTTCCTCTGATTGAGTTTTGGAAGGTGTGGGTGTTCAGGAATTTGTCCATTTCTTCAGGTTATTTTATTTCCAATTTGGTAGCATGTATAATTTTCATAGCATTCCCTGATAATTGTTTTACATGTAACTTTCTCTGAGGGATTGGTTGTAATAATTCCATTTTCATTCATGATTTTTATCTATTTGGGTCATCTCCCTTTCTTTTTATTGAAAACCTGGCTAGAGAGTTTTGTCAATTTTGTTTATTTTTTTCAAAAAACCAACTCTTGGTTGCGTGGATCCTGCTCTGATTTTTTTTAGATTCTATATTGTTTATTTCTGCTCTGATCTCTATTATTTCTCTTCTTCTCTGCTGGGTTTAGGCTGCCTTTGCTGTTCTGCTTCTATTTCCTTTATTGTTATATTGAATTTTGTATTTGGGATTTTTCTTGCTGCAGAGATAGGCCTGGATTGCAATGTATTTTCCTCAGGACTGCCTTATTTCGTCCCAAAGTTTGGATTATTATTGTATTTTCATTTTCATTTTGTTTCCATATATTTTTAATTTCTTCTCCTAATTGCCTGGTTGTACTCATTTTGTTAGTAGGGTGTTCTTTAACCTCCTTTTTGGAGTTTTTCAGACTTTCCTATGTGGTTGATTTCAAGCTTCTTGGCATTGTGGTCTGAAAGTATTATGCATGGTATGATTTCAATTCTTATGTAATAAATTTATGAAGGGGGCTGTTTTGTGACCCAGTATATGATCTATCTTGGAGAATGTTCCATACTTTTCGAGAAAAGTATATTCTGTTGTTGCTTTTGGGATGCAGAGTTCTAAAATATATCTGTCCAGAGTGCATCTGATCCAATATGTATCATTTCAGGGCCCTTGTTTCTTTATTGACTGTGTGTCTAGATGATCTATCCATTTCTGTAAGTGGGGGTGGTAAAGTCCTACATACATTCTTATCAATAAGGTTGCTTATGTTTATGAAGTGGTGTTTTATATTTGGGGGGCCTCGGTATTGTTGGTATAGACATTTACCTGTTGTTGGCTTCCTGATGGATGAACCCTGTAATTATTATATAATGCCCGCTTCTTCATCTCTTTTTACAGCCTTTAATTTAAAGTCTAATTTGTCTGATAGTATGGCTACTCAACTTTCTTTTGGCTTCCAGCATGATAAATAGTTCTCCATCCCCTCATTCTCAATCCCCAAAAAGGTGACCTCAGGTCGTGGTAGTCTCTTGGGCAACAAATAGTGGTCTTGTTTTTTTTTATCCATTCTGATACCCTATGTCTTTTGGTTTGTGCATTTTTTAATCCATTTACATTCATTGTTAATAGAAAATGGATTTGAGTCTCATTGTGATGTCTCTGTATGTTTTTTATGCTTGTAGTGATGTCTCTGGTACTTTTTTGTCTCACAGGATCCCCCTTAGGATCTTGTAGGGAGCTGGTTGAGTGGTGACAAATTCCTTCAGTTTTGTTTGTGTGGGAAAGACAGCACATCTCTCCTTCCTTATTCTGTGTGTGAACTACTGGATAAAAAGAGATTCTCAGCTGCCACATATTTTCTAACCTTTTGCCTGAAGATATAAGGTACCCAATTCTGGCCTGCCAAGTTTCAAAAAGAGATCGTCCACGCAGTCTTATAGGTCTCCCATTTGTATGTATGTTGAGACTTTTGCGTTTATCCCTTGCTGTTTTCAAGAATTTTCTCTTTATCCTTGTATTTTGCCAGTTTCACTATGAGTATTATCGTCTGAAGGGGTTCTCTGTGCTTAGTTTCCAATGCCTTTTTCCTTCCCAGTTCAGAGTTCTCAGCTACTCAATTTCTTCAAGTACCCCTTCAGCACCTTTCCACCTCTCTCTTCTCCTCTGGGATACCAATTATGTAAAATTATATTATTTCTTTTTTAGTGTATCACTTGGTTCTTCTAATTTTTCCACACTCCTGGATTTTTTTTTATCCCTCTTTCTCTCAACTTCTCTTTTCCATAACTTTATCTTCTAGTTCCCTATTCTCTCTTTTTGCCTCTTTAAAGCCGGGGAGCTGTCCGTCGTTTCCATTTGTTTTTACATTTCGTTTTAAAGCGCCTTTCAGCTCCTGTTGACTGTTCCTTAGTCCTTGATCTCTGTAGCAAGTTACCTCTGCTGTCCTCTATACTGTTTTTTTCCAAGCCTTAGCGATTAATTTTATGACTATTATTCTAAATTCACTTTCTGTTACCATTTTAAATCCTTTTGATCAGCTCATTAGCTGTTATTTCCTGGAGATTCTTCTGAGGGGGAATTCTTCATGGTCATTTGGATAGTCCCTGGCGTGGTAGGGACCTGCAGGGGGAAGCTTCCCCTGTGCTTGTGGTGTATAACTGGAGTTGGTGGGTGGGGCGCGGTCCCTTGTGATCTGCCCCCAGCCGCTGAGACCTGGTGGTGAACAGTGGTGCCTTCTCTTCCCCTCTCCCTGAGGTGAGGGATTCACTGTGGGGTGCGTGACTTCCTGCACACTGCCGGGCTTGTAGCACTGGGGATCTGAGGCGTGTAGCTGGGAGGTGGGTAGGCAGGTGCACAGGGGCAGGAGGGGCAGGCAGCTCGCTTCTCATAGGTGATCCCACTTCAGGAGGGGAGCCCTGTGGCAGCGGGAGAGGGGAGTCAGAATCGCTACTTGGCTGGGGTTTTTATCCACCCAGAAACTGGTTAGGTGTTCCTGGCAGGCGGCAAGTTCCCTGGCAGGGAACTGGTTCTCTTTGGGATTTTGGCTGGGGGGATGAGTGAGGGAGATGGGCTGGTGGCTGTTCCCACAAACTGAACTCTGCTGGCTCGTCGGGGGCTCAGCAGCTCTCCCTCCCTTTGTCCTCCAGCCTTCCCTTTTTCTGAAACAGGCTGTTAACTTATGACCTCCCAGGCGTAATTAAGCTTGCTGTGAACACAGTCAGGCCCCTCGGCTTTGCCATGTGTTCGGGAATGCTGCTTGGCGAGAGGCGCCCCTCACGCCCCAACTTCCTCCTGCCAGTCATTGAGCCACTTTTTTTTTTTACGCCTTGCCCAGCCCTTCCTACCCCTCTTCTGTGGAGCTCTTGTCTAAGCTTGGCTCCGGCGACTCCGTTCTGCCCAATCCTCTGGCGGTTTTCTGGGTTATTTAGGCAGGTGGCAGGTGGAATCTGATCAGCAACCCGAATCCTTCAGCAGGACATGGCGGTGAGCCCAGCGCGTCTCCCTAAGCCCTCTTCCCTCCTCTCCCTAAGGGCATAACACTTTTAAGGTGCATTTCTTGATTTCACTTGTTTTCGCATTTATATTAAACATAGCTAGAATGTAACAAGTTTATGCTTTTCTATATTTCTCAAGTGACATACGCATTATAATCAGCAGTAAATAATGACCATCCTCCTGTTACTATGTTTCTTGCCATGATAATCTAAATGACATTACATTTTAGGTTAAATTAATGGCTGTAGCCTTTATTAAGTGTTTTTGTGGCATTGGTTCTGTTCCCTCCCCCATTCAAGTTACAGGTTGTAATTAGTCAAATCATTAATATTTTCATGATGTAGTTTTCCAAATTATTAAAGTAACATTTTTGTCTTCAATGACATATTAAATGAATATTTATTTAGCCATAAACATAGTGTAATATTTTTGGAATTATTATAAGCCTTTACTTTTTTTCTCCCAGACAATACAGAAAACTATGAAAGAAGAAAATTGAAATCAACTGTAACCTCTTTAACCAAATTTAAAATTGGGGGAAATATTTTCCCAAACTTAAAAAAAATCCCATGTGTATATATGTGATTGTCTTTTTATCTTAAGAGATATTTCCATCAAGAAATGAAGACACACACTTAATGTTTTTTTAGTATCTACATAATATTCTGTTGTACTAAAAAACCACAATTTGTTTAATTTCCTGTTGTTGAATATTTGTCTTTAGTTTTGTTTTACTCAGGGACCAACCTTGAGGATAATCTTTGGGTGTTTCCATGATTACATAATCATGGTAAATTCACAGAATTTGAATTGCTAGTCCAGAGGGCGTGTATATGTTTAAGGCTGCTAATACTTATTCCTATTTTGTACAAGAGGAAATTTGAACATTTTACTCTTTCATCTTTGCGTAATATATAAAAATTGGTATCTATTTTTTTGTTAAGATTATATGCTTTATGGCTGAGAAAGTTTGGGCAAACTTAACAACTATCAGAATCTGTTTATTTTTAAGGCACATGTGATAAGCATTGTGGCAGTATTTCAGTTCACAATGTTTTGGTTTGCAGCATTCAACTCAAAACTGAACAGCTATAATAAAAATTGTTTTGCTTTTAGTTTATGACCTTTCCATAAATTCTAAAACCCTCAAGTGGTTGTTACATTTCTTAAAGCTTCTCTGTGTTGGGAGATTTAAATGAGAGTATGTAGCAGCCAGCCAGCTGCAAGCTCATCTCCTGGCCTGCACTGAAGTACTAGAAAGACTTTGGTTTCTTCATCTGGACAGGGAAGAGGACTGGATGACCAGACAGTAAACATTTTTTATATGGCATGATGAACCTGATGACAAATTAGGCCAGGGAAATATGCCCAAATCTGAAAAACATGATAATTAACTACATGAGCAATGATCTATCCAAGGCTGTCATATTTAAATATCCTTCTGAACAAATAGTTCTAGCACTTTTCTCAGATACATTGAGTTCCTTTTTTATGGTTTTATTATGCATAAGTTACATCCTCTTGTATACTCAAATAGCCAAAGGACACCTTCCGGTTACCATGTTTGATGACCTTTCCTGTAAGTAGCAACCAAAACCATTGACAATGCTTTTCCTTCTCAAAATTCTCTATTCTTCTGGCTTTTGCAATTCCAGATACCTCCTTCAACCCTCTGGCCACTCTAGAATTACATCTTCAACCCCTTTTTCTTCTTTTGCTGTTTTTTCTTTAGGAAATTTTATCCATACCCATAATTTCTACTATCATTATACCAGCTGATGATTCCAGAATTGAAGTTTCTGATCTTTTCTCCTAAACCCACAGAACTCTTGGTCTTTCTTCCCTGAAATGTGTCACCTGTGTGTCTTTTCACAAATGTGTATTCTAGTTCGTCATCTTTCTAAAACAGACCTAACCATGTCACTCATTTGATTCCAGATCTTCTCAGTATTCCTGGGAGTTAGAAAACCTACCAAGACATTTTACCATCTGGTCTTATGGCCACATTTGCCTCTTCCATGCCTAAGTCTGGCATGCTTCACTCCTACTGTTACCAGATGGCATGTATCCCTTCACACCTCTCTGCCTGTCCCCACAATGCTCCCTATATCTGGAATCCTGGCTCTGGCACATACCTTATTCTGTCAAGATCTTGGTTTTTGCCCAAGACCAGATCAAATATCACTTCTGAAATCATCCATGAGCTTCCCTACTTTGTTTTCTTAGCTTAATTTTATTGCCATACGTTAATTCTTTCTTGGATCATAGCAGTTTGTGTACCTGTCTCCTCCTCTAAAGTATGAGCTCTTTGAGAGCAGGGAAAGTAAAGTATCTTGGTTCTTTTTGATTCAGTATCCAGCATCATATCTTGAGCTTTGTAGTTCAGGTGGCTCTATCTCCCTTAATGTTTCAAATCTGTTCAGAGTGAGGAGATCTGCTAGTCTGATGAGATGTGTCAATTTTATGAAGGGGATGGAACTCATATAGAAGATAAAAGATGATGAAAGATAATAGTTAATATAAGAAGACAACATAGGGAAATTTGGAGAAGAGAGGATCTAAGATCTAAGTCATGAAAGAGGAATGTATAAGAAGAGGATTTTGAGTGTGTGAGAGAAAGAATTAGAAGAAAAATGAGAACTGACAGAGGAAAGTGGCTCTGAGAACTAAATAAGGAAAACTACATACCAGAGCCTGGTATTTAGCTTAAACCAAAAAAAAAAAAGAAAAGAAAAGAAATGAGACTGATATTTTTATTTGTTTAAACATGTTTTTTATAATATTAATTACACTAAAATTTATAATATTGAAACAAAATAAGATTTTTAAGGAATCACAGATGTTGAAAGATATCTTTAAATATCAGCATTTCTTTTTTCAAAAATTTTATGTTAGATACAATAGGAGTTTTGTTTGTCATATGTCACATGTTGGCTAATCTGGTCCAGATTTTAGCATAAGAAGTTATTAGAAGTGTTACATCCTTGTAAAACAGGGAGTTTAAGTTATTTTGAAATTAGTACTTTTTTTTTTTTTAAATAACTCATTAAGATAAAGTGGGCTTAAATAAAAAGCTCTTGAGGGGTGCCTGGGTGACTCAGTCGGTTAAGCGTCCGACTTTGGCTCAGGTTATGATCTGGTGGTTTGTGGGTTTGAGCCCTGCGTCAGGCTCTGTGCCGACAGCTCAGAGCCTGGAGACTGCTTCAGATTCTGTGTGTGTGTGTGTCTCTCTCTCTCTCTCTGCTCCTACCCTGCTTTCTCCCTCCCTTTCTCTCTGTCAGTCTCTCCCAAAGATAAACATTTTTAAAAATTGTAAAAAAATGAAAAGCTCTTGATAGTTACAGGTTTAGTCAGTAAAGCAAAATCTCCACTTAAAATATGTTTTAATTACATTTTATAGACTAAACTTGCATGACTGATCTGAACATTATTTTCTATTTTATGCCTCATCATTTTCCATGTTTTCTTTTTTTTTTTAATAGCCAGAAATAACTGTGGAAAACCTTCCCGTTTATTTAAGACTTCAGAAACCATTACTTATTTTATTCAGTGATGGCAGCATAAATCCTCAGTATACAAAAGCAATATTGACGCTGGTAAAAGAGAAACACTTGGATTCACTTACCCCTTGCTGGTTAAATCTGTAAGTATATTTTTATTTTTTAATATGCAAAAGGTAAGGAACTGTAATTACTACATTTTCATTAGGAAATGAAAGTCTCTAACTGTACCTTTGGAGTTAATATGGGACCAGTGTATATATTATCAGGATATTTTAGTAACTAAAAGATGACCTTGTTTTAGATTGAATTCTTTTCTACGATGAATTTTATTTTGTTGACTGGTATTTTTTTTTTCAGATCCATTGAGGTGTAATTGACAAAATTTTAGGATATTTAAAGTGTACATTGTGGTGATTTGATACATGTATACATTTTGAAAGGATTCCTCCATCGAAGTAACATATTCATTACATCAAACATTTAAAAATGTATATATATGCCC